GCAGAAATCAGAATGTTACATAATTACTAATTGATGAACTTAGGTTTTAGTTGAATATGTATAACATTGAATATATCAATACGCTGAATGTCTTCTAATACAGCTGACATCACAAAACAATTTAAATTATTTTTTAGATTCCTATAGAAAAAATAACACTTCATTATTACAGTGAAAGTAGGATAAGTCAGAAACATTAGTTTAAAAACTTAACTTTTGTATTTCCTGAGTTTTGGAGCATTTGTCAATACAACCTGAATTTCTGTTGATGGCAGACTTTTTTTTTAAAAGCAGAATTCATTATAGTACTCATTACTTGCCTCCCCGTGTCTTGTTAGGCCATTATTTATACCATCTGTGGTACGTGCTCTGCACAGAACCAGCAAGTTAGGCAACTTTATTTTGCTGATGAATAGCAGAGGATTTACTAAATAGGTTAAGGTATGATCTGAGAAACAGGATATGTTAGATATACTTGGTTTGTGAAGTGTGTTTTTATTTTTACACTCAAATACCATAGAATACCACCAGTGGTCTTTGGATTTTATTAATAATAGCTAATAAGAAAATAAAGTCATGATTATGTTGGATAAGACCATAAACATGACTGATTTAAAAATAGATTTAAATTATGCATTCAAAATACATTTATAGACTTTTTCTTATATTATCAGAATTACGATTAGTGTTGAAATAACTCAAAACTAAAGAATAGTTGTGTTAATTAAGGGTTTGCACTGATGACTATCACTGATTTTTAAGTAAATGTAATATTAAGTCATGACCAAAATCCAAACCCTACAATTCAAGCACAATACTACTGACATTTTCATAAGCTCCTCTTATTTATTATTGAAAACAGTAGACATTTTGATATAAGGTGTGGATATCATGATACGTTTTCTGTTAGAGGGGAAAAACATATAACAGTGGCACTGTAGATTGGAACAGGAAATATTATGTGAGACCAATTAAAGGAGCCTCCCAACACACTCTGAGTAGGTTTATTTAAAGTAATTTATATTAATAAATTGATTGGGTAACATTCAGAGTTGGTGTAAGTTTAACGCTGAGGAGCACACAAGTCCATTGATAAGATGAAATGACTTTACTGAAATAAGTGAAACAAGCAAGATTAGTCTCTTTGCTGAAATGATAATGTATTTATTTTACTATGGAACACTTGAATTTTACTAATATTTGATTATATAAACAGCGGATCTAAAGGCTTGTCTATCATCTGCCCAGCCACCTAGTCTGTGTCCAACTACAGTTGCGATGGATATCAATAATCCTCAGGAGTTTATAAGATGTTAATGTGATTTAGCTAACAGGTGGTCAGGAACCATAAAATTCTGTCAGGTGAGCATTCTGACATTTCTTCTTTTCCATGAAGAAAATGGGTATTTTACAATGAATTATAATTTGCCACTATGATTAAAAATGGGCATGACTCCCCTTCAAACACGATCCTGGAACAATGGTTCAAGACAATGAGTGTTTCCAAATCTAGAAACTATGTAATGACTCAAAGACATTCCTTGGCCTTTCAACAATATATTAAAATAGGTGAATCAATTGTTTTTCTTTATTTATGTCTAATTGTTTAATGATAAGTCATTACCAATGAAAATTATGAAGTATATTAATGACACTGAATTTGAGCGCTCATTAACACTAGAAACTTATTCTGGATCGAAGCAGACTATTAATTATAAGAGCTATTTTTAAGCAATTCTACCTGTGACTCTGACTATTTCAGAAATCAATGTGACATTACAAGGACATGAAACTGCTTTCAGCTATTTTTGAATAACTCAATCAGTAAACAAGCCATTTTAGCCTATCTTCTACTTTAATATATTTTCCAAGAAACAAATTTGGTCAATAAAATCAAAATGTTCTTTTTAAAAGTTAAAAAAGTCACAGCCAACAAACACAGTATAACTTCTAACCAACTCCCTAGTTTCATGTCCTGTCTCTCTCCTCCTCCCACAGATCCAGCCTGCAAGATGCTGACCAGTAATGAGGTACACTGCATATCCATCACACCCACTGTCTCGGGCGCAGGTGAGATCACACAGGCTTTGGCAAGACCATGTTCAAACTATGGATATAAAACTTAAAAACCAAGAGGAAGGCAACAATGTATATGACAAGAAATTATAATTCCTAATACAGTTCCTAGCTTCTACCCTGCTGTAAGTAGGCTGAAGGAACAGTAAAACAGTGAACACCAAAACCAGCGAACACCCAGGCTACAGATTGTTCCCTGGAAGGGAAGCAGCCAAACAGACAGTTTTTTCATAGGAGTAGCTTATGATTGTGTTATATACCAGCTTATGAGAAAGACTGAAATTTGTTGGAAGGAATACTGTGCTATTGCTCCCTCAGGAACCAGTCATTATTGTGCTGTTGGCCTGCTTCACTACCATATATATTTTACACCTACTAACTCTCGTGGTGTACCTCAACATTAAATTTACGCCAACTCTGAATGTTACCCAATCAATTTATTTATATAAGTTACTTTAGATAAGTCTATTCTTAATGTGCTGCAAGGCTCCTTTAATTGGTCTCACATAATATTTCCTTTCAATCTACAGTGCTGCTGTTGTACGTTTTCCCCCATAACATAAAATATGAGATTTGCACCTTATAAAAATATCAAAATGTCTACTGTTTCCAATAACAAATAGATTTTACCTTCGCAAACTCAGATACAAAATTAAAAGGGGAAAGAGAACAAATATTACAAAGAACACAAAAGAAATAAAAGGAGAGATCATGACTGCAATTAGTGTACAATTAGAATTTACTCCACATTTTCCATTTAATTTAACTGTTTTATATAAGAGTACTAACTCTATAGCTTAGTATGAAAGACACAAAAGCAGCAGAGGGAGAAAAGTAGTATTTTAAGTTCATTAAATTCAGAAGATTAGTTATCATACATATAAACATGTTTATCTCTATAAAATAAGCAGTCAATATTACTGATCTTGAATACATGAAAAGAGATTTTCAGATTCTGCAGCTCTATGAGCTTTCAAGAAACTTTCAAGAACAGGTCCAAGGAAAACCCTGTCATTGGCCTCACTTGGCTTAGGAGAGAGACCGAATTACGATGTCATTGCCTTATTCAAGGCAGACAAACGGAAATGAATGAGACAAGTGGATATGATTATGGTAGGCAGAATTTTAAAATAAAACATGGGAAATGTACTAGAAACCGAAAAATTGGGACCTTGAACCCAATACAGTTTCCGTTTTCTTCAGAGACATGATCAAATTTTAAACACAAAAAGTATCTTTACAATATCTACCATTAAGACAACTGTATTTATTGTATTTTTTAATTTCAATAGAAAAAGGTTGCTGCTGACCCAGGTTTTATTTCATGTACTTAAACACAGTCCTGCGATATTTTGCAACTAGAAACACTGCAGTCACGCACAAGGGGTAATTAGAAAATGCAAACCATTAAAAACAAAACCTGAAATCAATTCATTCAGTAACTGGCAAAGAGAAACAGGAAAGCAAACAAACAGCATCAATGGTGAAAATACACAAAAATATTAAATATTAAATTGGTTAATGCTTTAGTCATCTGAGGTATATAAGCAACACAGATAGGTTTTTTTAAAGAATATATGACTTTAATTGGTTTTGTACCTTTAATGATAAATTTACAGTGAAAATGACATGTCTACCATAATTTTGAAATACAATGTAGATACCACCGATTTCCTGCAAATGCCTTTGCATTATATTTGTTCGTGGCACAGGAGTAAATTTGAAAAAAATAAATTCTTATACACATCCACTCTTTGGGGATTCATAGCAAATTAAATATTTTAAATTAAATAAATTAAGATTAAAATTCTATAAAATAAACAGTCGTTCTGGATCTCCTCAAACAAGATTTTCCTCAGCACACTAATACACCAACCTTCATAAAAAAAATCCACAAAAACCCAGCTAAACAAGTAAACAAAAAAAACACCCCTCAAACAAAAAAAAAACAAAACAACCAACAACCCCGTCCCCCAAGAAAACCTTAAAAAACTGAAGAAACAAGATCTGTTTATTGAGAATGAGGCAACAGGATACAACTGACGTTGGCCTGATATTTTACCTCTTGTTGATTTGGATAATGACTTTTACCAACCTTCAATATTGATGTCAGTCCACCCCCACAACTTTGATGCCATTTGTTTTGGAAGAGCACACATAGCTAATAAATGCATGGCACTCATTCAATTTCTGGAGCATCTGTGGATCCTCTGAGGCCCCTCTCCCCAAGGCTGTCAAAGATGCTAGTGTCAGCTCCTCCGATACTTGCCATGGACAGCTCAAGTGGAGACGGTTTTATTTGATTTGGAAGAGTTTGCTCTGACATCTCTCTGTGCTCCTACAATGTGCACTCAAGCATTAGTGGACAAATACATCAAATAAATACCAGATAAAAGCACCCAAAATATGCTTGATAATGCAAAGAAAGGATATATTTTAGGGTATGGTCAGAGAAGATATTCAAAGCCTCCACTGTTGCTTCTAGAAATGTCAGGACAATTCAGAAATGTCAGTTCCTTTACCAGTTTCCAGATTGTAATTGAAGGATCATGTAGCTCTTTTGCTCTTTCTCTCTCTTTCTCTCTCTCTAAATAGGTCTATAAAGATCAGCTGGAAAGTGCAGATAGAATTGTTCACTGGTTAGCTTTACTTAGAGCTACAGGGTATATATGTGCTTTCTTTTGTCTTATTGATCAATCTAGCTTACATTTTTAGCACACAGAAACAAAAACCAGAAAAAATAAAAAGTCGATGAAAAACACGAACAACACAAATAAGGTTCCAATCGTGCAAATTTTGCTTCACTGGATAAAGCACTTCTTGACACAGTAATGTCCAGAATCCCCCTCCCCCAGAAAAATACAGGACTGAGACTGAAGCCATTCTTTTTTTTTCCCTTTTTTCTTTTTTCTTTTTTTTTTTTTCTTAAGGCTATACAACACAAAGAAATAAAGAATGGAAAGAACATCTCATTGGGCTGAACAATCCATTCTTCTGGCTCTGGAGCAAGCCTTTGCCAAAGTGATTCTGTGGTCCAAGTTATTTGTCTCATTGGGACAACAAAAAAAAGAGGAAAAAATGAAAGAGAGGGAAAAAATGAAAAAGAATAAGAAAGTCAATGATCCCAACAATAAAATCCAAAATTGACTTTACAATCACAGGTACAAATTGCTCAGGTCGATAATTTCATTTCTCCTAAAGATCACTGTTGTCTAAAACTAATTAGAGGCGCAGGTTCCCAAGGAATTGTCAATATTCAAAGCAAATGTTGGAGTTTAGAAGGTTATCATTCTTCTACCGTGACAGTCTGACAGGGTGACTGAAAATATCGTCATGTGCTGCCAAGTTCAGGGTGTCATTAACGATTGAATCCTTGCTCCAGCTCATGGATCTGTCTCCTATTTGGCCTTCTTTTATAGTGGAAAGACTAAAAAGCCAGAAAAGGTTGAATATTTCCACCCTCCCATGAGGTTTCCCCTTTCCAGTTTGAGATGCACTTTGTCTTCTCTTTCCATGAGGAGCAAGACCCCATTGCTGGCTGCTTCTCTGGTGACGTCCTGATCCCCTGCAAAAGCTGAAATCACTGGGTAGCCGTTTTGCATTAAACTTACCTAAAAAGTGCAAAGAGACAGAATCTGAGTTTTGAGAAAACTCTCAATGCCTTTTTTGCTTTGTGCACATCACTGAATTTTTGTGCAGGTTAGAATCGGTTGAATCAAGTTAAGGTGATGTGTGATTTCTGTCATGCATATAGACCCCTTTAAAAATAACATGCAGTTTCATTCTTCAACTGCTGTTTTGGTAAATGTGTGGCTAGAAATGAGCATTTGAAAAAAAAAAAAAAGAAAGCATCTTTTTTAGATCAGAACCCACCTGGATGGTTTGTCTGTTATAGACCTTGACCACGTGGAAACTGAAACTATATATCCCTTTTCTTGGCGCTACAAATATACTGGAAGCAAGATCAAAATGGTTCCCAATATTAACTAATACCTGGAAAGTAAACAAATAAACAAAATCAAAAAAAAAAAAAATAAAGGAGAGAGAGAAAGATAAATCTGAGAAAACAGACTCCACCTCAGAAAAGTACCAGTGAAAATCTAACATGAGCTCCATGACTGATATAAAGCCTAGGCAAAATGGCATTTGCAGCACAATTAAAAATGTATGTCAGGGGAATAAAGTCAAATTACAGAGGCATTTAAGAGGCATCAGAGTTAATAAAACAATTTAGTTACACAAAAATTATCTCCAAAGCCTGTTAGATGAAGTGCAAATGTCCACACTGCGCTGTCAATAAAGATGGCAGAATGGGGAGGGGGAAGAGTGTGAAATGGAGGTGAGGAGGGAGGGGAAAGAAGCTAGGAAAAAATCCCTAAAGTCATTGACTCATAATGCAAATGTATGCTTTTTAGCTAGCACTATTGAAAACAGAGCTACCCTCGAGTTTAATAGGGTTAAAAATTGCACTGCAGAGAGGGGTGAAGGAGGAGAGCAGATGCTTAGCACCAGCAACATCTTCCAGCTCATGTCTCTCTGTCCCTCTGGAGAGCTGTGTCGCTTGGCCCACACGCTCCTCAAGGGGCTGGGTGGGCCGTCTCCTCCTTCCTGGCAACAACCTTAATTTTTCATATATTTCAATGTTTTTTGAAACAGAGCAAGAATTGAGCCCTCTGGCAGATGCGCAAAGCCTCGTTCGGAAGGGGCAGCCACATCCTTCCGATCCCGCTGATCTGCCCGGTATCTGGCCTCGGCTCATCCTCTCCTCCTTTTCCAGGTGCCTGTGACAGGCAGCATGATCTGGCTCAAAAGGCGCGGGTGGTGAGGAGAGAAGAACCCGCGGGTCCGTGGCGATGCCGTGCGATGAGTGGGTGAACCCGAGCCGGCTGCTCCGCCGTGCCCGCCCCCGGGGCAGCCCGGCCACGCTCAGCTTTGAGGGTTACAACCTCTGGGTTAATGAAGAAAAATACAAAGCAAGAGAAAATAATTAACCTCCACCCGCCTCCCCCCCAGATCCCGAGCCTTTCTTCCAAACAGCCAAACTCTAAAGTTTCAAAAAAAAAAAGGAACAAAAAATAAAGCCTCTTATTGTGGGAGAACCGAGGAAACGCCTTCCAACCCCAGGGAACTGAACATTGCCGGGTAAAGTGTCTAAAATATGTTATATATTCAGCAAGTTGGGGTTTTGTTGGGTTTTTTGTTTGTTTTTTTGGTTTTTGTTTAAGTTGTTTTTTCTTTTTCCTCTACTCATCTTGTATCCGAGGAATATCTGTGCAAATTCATTAGGAAGGATAGGTAGACAGATGAATGACAGGAGAACAGACAAGTTAAAAAAAAAACAAACCCAAAACCAACCAACCAAACAAGCCCCCAGAGAAACAGTCTGCTTATTTTGGCTGACTCTGCAATACTACTTCAGGAGTCAGAAGCGGCAGGAAAAAAGTAAATTTCATCGCAAAAGTGAAGTGGATGGACGGGGCATAGCCTCTGGGAGGCAAGCAGTGCGACGGGGCAGAGGCAGGGGCAGAGGAAGGGGCAGGGAGGGGCAGGACGAGGCCGGCCTGTTCTTTTCTCTGTCCGGCGTATGCTGTGCAGGATAACACCATTCCGTTATAGCCCACCGGGGACATCGTTCTCCTCGTTTGATAACGCGGGAAACACCCTCTTCTTCCTCCTCCCTCTCTCCCCTTAAGAGATGCTGTAACATTGCCAAATGCGCTCGGAACAGGCAGATCCGGCGACTCCTCATCGGTAAACCTCCGAATTTGCCCTAAAAATGAGCATTCCCGACGGAGCACCAAAGGAAGGATGCGCACCTTCCCCCGGGTCGTTCCTGGCTGGGCGAGGCAATCCTCTGCTGCAAGGAACCCCTGTACGCGTCCGAGGCAGAGACTCTCACGTTAACTCCCTCTCCTTACTAGCAATGGGACAGGACAAGAAGCTAGCGTGTTTCCCACCGATACCACTCTAGGAAAACCCCGCAGACACCTAAAAGAACTTCCCACACTCTTTCAGGGGAGCTGAGCCGTAAAATTGCTATTGAGCGGGTGAGTCGGGATTAAAAGACGGAAGGGGAGCCCCTACGAGAACACGCGTGCAGTAAGGGGGAAGCAGGGACGGGGATGGGGGTAGCGAATGTGAAGCAGGCGGCGGCTAACCTGGTCGAAGTAGATGGTCATGGTGCGGTTGCTCATCTCGGAGGGCTCGTGGTTGGTGCTGCGGGTGGCCGAGAAGGCCACCTTGGCGCTGCCCGAGCGCACCGAGATCCCCAGAGAGGAGGTGATGGCGCCGTCGGCCGAGGGGCTGGAGTCGCAGACCACCAGGCACTTCCCCTCCAGGACGATGGGCTCCGTGTCGTTCTGCGCCCGCACCGGACACCCGGCGGGCAGCAGCAGCAGCGGCAGCAGCGGCAGCGCCGCCGCCAGCAGCAGGAGCAGCCGCCCGCTGGCTCCGGCAGCGCCCCCGCCGCCGCCGCCCCATGCCCAGCGCCGGGGCCGCCGCCGCCGCTCGGGCTCGCCGCCGCCGTGCGGGCGCCCCGCGCCGCCGCCGCCGCGGGCGGGCGGGCGCGGGCAGGCGGAGGGGGCTGCGCGCCTGCTGCCGCCGCGGCGCCCCGCGGCCAGCGCTCTGCGGGACGGCGGCTGGGCAGCGGGGCTGGGACCGCGCCTTCCTCCCCTTCTCCTCCTCCGCGCGGGGCGAAGGAGCCTTCTCAGAGGGCGGCCGGCGCGCAGCAGCCTGCCAAGGGGAAAGGCGGCGGTGAGGCACCGCAGCGGGCAAGCAGGAGCCAGCACCGCGCCACCCGGCAGTGCCCCGCTAGCGGGGCTGCCCCTCCCCGCCCCGGGAGCCCCAGGCCGGCACAACAGGTCATGGGAGACATGCTCGCATGCCCGGTGATCCCTCTTTCTCCCGTCCCCCAGCAGCCGTGAGTTCCCGCAGCCCCAGCCGTACTCTGAGGCGGGAGGAGGGGGCAGCGCGGCAGACTGCATCCCCAAACCCGCGGTGGAGTACCCTGCAGGCGCCTCAGGCGCCCCACAGGGGCACCCCACAACTGACGGGGGCTCCGAAACCCGGCTAGTTCGCGGGGCCCCACTTTTTACTACATCTGCGAGCCGGGTTTACATCCGTCTCCTAACGCCCCAGCCACTACGGGAGGAAATTTTATTCTTGTTATTGGTAACGCGCCCTCTCGCTCCTCGATGGAGTTGCCCCCCTACCTCTAGAGTTCGCGGGTGGCCAGGACGCCTCGAAGCCCCCGCCCCCGCCGCGGCGCTGCCCCGGACGGGCTCTGGAAGCCGCCGCCGCCCTTCTCCCCGCCTGGCTGGGGAGCTGCGCTCGGGTGGATTTGTACTTCCCAACCTTCTGTCCCCCCAGGCCAGGCTGCCACCGCTGCCGCCGACCCCGGCGGCTCCTAAACTCTCGGGAAGGAAGCAGTCGATACCCCTCAGCTCCCACCCCGGCATGCACACATTATCGCAGAAGTCAAAGCCTCACCCGGCATCTCCCTCGGAAGTTGCATCTCAGTTTTTCCCGTTCACCAGAACACCCGGCGATCTCGCTCCTGGGAGATCGCCCCTACACTTCCCCGGAGGCATCTCTACCGCTGCCCTAACGCTGCATCTTATTTTTGTTATCATGTAAAATGGTAATTTGCAAAAGGAACAGCCGGCGGGGAGGAGAACCGCCTTTTTACCTGGGAGGTCCATGACGGGAGAGGAGGGCTGGCTAGGTAGCTCGTCCGTGAACTTGTATTGCTCAGAGAAAATGAGCCGAGATTGCGCTGGCAGAAAGAAAAGGAAACAGGAGTCGCCTCTTTCTCTCCCGCCCATTGCCAATAATCATCCCCCTCCCGCCAGCCGCTACCACCACCACCCCACTTCCTCCCTCCTCCCCTCTTCACGCACACATACACATACAGACACACACAGACACACACATACACGCACCCGGCAGGGATTCAGACGCCGGGAGCGGAGCGGAGTGTGGCCACGGCACCTCCGTCTACCCCGCAGCCCATCCCTTGCCCCGGCCAGACGCCCCTCTCCCTGGAGCCGCACCTCGGCACATGGCGAGTAGCCGCGGCGAGGTGCGGTATTCCCACTGGGACAGCCTCTCCGGGGCGCCCTGCCGCAGGGTGTCACCAGTGGCAGGGAAAAGCCATATCCCCTCGTCCCCCTCCTCCCGTATGTCTACTTAAACCCGTCGTGCTGAGCCGCACCTGTACGAACATGCCACCGACACGTTAGCGCTGCTGCGACCGAACCACACGCAGCATCGCTAACTGGGAACTATCTGGAATTCACAGACTTTAATAATTCTGATAATATTTATAATAATCACTAAAAGGGACACGTTGTTTGGGGCACTTCATGCCGTAAGGCTCCACCCCGCACACTGAAAAGCCTCATTCCCACGCCCGTACCCCCGCGCCTCGGCGCCCAGAGCTCGGCGGCGGCTCGCCCTTTATTGAAGTATTTCTTCCACGGGGCGTCTCAGCTTCCCGAGCCGGGACCCGCTCCCTGACCTACTTCCGGACCGGGATCTGCTCCTCGACCCGCTCCTGGACCGGACCCACTCCCCCATCCCTCGCAGCCCAGGATCTGCTCCCCGATTCGCACCCGCTTTCAGACCCTCCCCCGGCCCAGGCCCCGCTCCCGCACCAGACCCGCCCCGACCCCACCGGCCCGCCCGCGGCTCCGCTCCAAGTGTGGTCGCGAGCGCCACCTGGCGGCGCCGCGGGGCGTCGCGCCCTTGGCGAGGCGGGCCGGGCTGGACCGCGGGGCCGCCGGGGGGCTGGAGGGAGGGAGGGAGGGGCGCCGCACCCCGGCCAGGGAGGCCGGGAAAATCCCAAGGGACAGTAGGCTGAGAAACCGAGTGGCCGCCCCCTCTCGCTGCCTGGGTGCGCTGGGCATGTAGGTCGCCCCTGCCACATGGAGCGGTAATGATGATGAATGTAAGTCAAGGTTATCATCACATATTACCGCCTGCAAATGTTTCGTGCGTCTCAGCTCGTGGGGCTGCTGCTGAGAGGTTATCGGCAACGAGAGAGAAGGTGAGGCAGAGCTCTGACAATGAAGTTTTGAGAAAAAGCCTTGCATTTTGATGCATTTCTCTCCGTTGTGAACTGCATTTCTCATCGCATATGGTAATTTCCTAGAGATCCTAAAACTCAGACTTCAGAATCTGAAAGGAACTTATCAGAAAGTATACATCTGCGTATACATTTAAGTGGTAGCTCTTGATACAGAGAAAAATTTATGGGTGTATGTAGACGGTAAAATTACAGGGAGTGAATGTAATTCACTGTGAATGAGCAGTCCTCTCTTTCAATCTTCGGCTTTAAGCAGAAGCAAGGAACCCCTGAGGGTGTCTGCCTGATGATTTGCACCGAGAAATTAATCATGCCCTGAAATTGCAGCTGAGCAGTGTGCAGGGAATTCCTAACCTATAGCTCCTTATTTCAAATGAGAAGCTTATACTAAGCCTGAAACACTCATGTTTAACAGTCTTTTTCCTGACTTCACGGAGAGATGAGATTAGAAAGCTGAAAAGGGTGTTGTATTAAAATTATCAGAAATCAGAGCAGGAACAAGTTTGTGGCTATGAGGGAGCACCTATTCTGCATGACAGTGAAAAGGATCATAGAAATTCCTTCAGAAGATACCAACACTAAATCTGACATGGGTCTGGTACACTAGGAAGCTGCTATTATTTCTCTTTAGGTCACACTACTCATTGATTATGACTCTGTTGTATAAACAAGGAATGAAAGAAGAGCCAAAAGATTTGTACCTTGTTTTATATGACTTACAACATAAGGCACAGTGGTGAGGGAATGATGGCATATCATCAGTTCTGCCTGCTACTTTCAAGAAAGATGAGCATAACAATTAAAGGGAACTGAAAAGCCCTTAAATCCAATATGCACCCACAGGAGAAAAAAAAAAGAGATTAAGTCTTGCCTTTTTTAGAACAAGAAATGAATCCCGCATGTACAGAAACCCTCTTCTTCTTAGATAGCTAGCCAGCAAAAAAATGGTCAGTACAAATCAGTATAGTATGAATGAAAGGGGGAAATAACCAAAGAAGAATATCTATTTCTAATATAATATCTACTTATATGACATTTATGGTGTTTATTAGAAAACAGTTCCATGCACTACTTCTAATTAAATATTGTCCTTAATGGAATAAAACTGCAACCTTCATGGAGTTATGTAGTTACTTTAGCATCTTTCCTTTTTTTTGTGAGTCGCAAGGTTGAAAACATGGATTTTGAAATTATTAATGTGGGAAAATGCATCTTAGTTATGGAGTGACTTTAGAAAGTGTAGCTTCTAAAGTAACGGGTAAGATATTTGCAGTTCTCTTTCTTGAGTTCAAAAAGTTGGTGGTAGTTGCAAAAGAATAGCGTGTAATCAAGCTCATGCCATTTTTCAGCATTTTGCCAAGAATACAAAGGTTTCTACCAGGGACATATTGAACTTGACAGTGTGGCAGTTCTACAAGAAATGAAACTGCTCATTTCTTTGGAGCCTTTCCTAAGCTAGCCCTCACCTTGAACTCATTTAAGCCAACAGCTTCAAGGGAAAAAGCTTTTTGTCTCATCTACTAAATCAAGTTATCAACAGAAAGGTATTTTGATCAGTGGCTCCTGTTTCCCATACATTATTTACAATAATGCAAAAAAAAATAGAACACTCCTTTCCTAAAGAAAATACTGCATATCTGTTCCTGAAATTACTTCAGAGATATTTGCATGTATTATCTCAATGTTACATATACAAAAACAGAGAAAGAAGAAATGTTCATTTGATGTGAAATATTCTTTTGTCTACCTGTAATATAAGTTTGTGACAGGGACACAAAGCCACTTTCCTGGTCACAGAATCACAGAATATGGTGAGTTGGAAGGGACCCATACAGATTACCGAGTCCAGCTCTGTCCCTCCACAAGACGATCCCCAAGAGTCACACCATGTGTCTGAGAGTATTGTCCAAATGTTTCTTGAACTCTGTCAGGCTTGGTGCTGTGACCACTTCCCTGGGGAGCCCGTGCCAGTGCCCGACCACCCTCTGGGTGAAGAACCTTTTTTGTAATATCCAGCCTAAACCTCTCCTAATATGACTTCAGGCCATTCCCTTGGGTCCTGTCACTGGTCATCACAGAGAAGAGATCAGTGTCTGCCCCTCCTCTTTCCCTCATGAGGGAGTTGTAGACTGCAATGAGTTCTCCCCTCAGTCTCCTCCAGGCTGAACAGACCAAGTGACCTCAGCCACTCCTCATACTGCTTCCAGCCAAGGTGCAGAAGACTAACTCCTCATTTTACCATTTAAATCAGTGAACTGTGAGTTCATGGATTATTTGGCCTGTAAAAAACAATTTTACTTTAAATTGTAAACAAATGGGATTTAACAAATCTGATTATATTTTCTACAGGCCCATCTTTGACATATAATTTGATGGTAGATGAAGTGCAGTCTTC